AACAAGGGTTTTTCTTTGGGTTTGTGACATCTTTCTCAAACGTGGGAGTTTTCTTTTACAGAAGGCAAAGAAAGAAAAAAAAATTGAAACTCTATATAGGCAATTGGGGACACATGTTAAATGTTTTAGATGTTTGGAACTCACATTCACAGAACTTATTTGTTAGGGTTGTTTTTCAAATTTGTCTCCATGTGATCTGAATGTTCATTATCCACGATTTTATTCTTTTAGATTATTTTAGGGGTTGATACGAAAATATTTAGTTTTGTGTCGTTTTTGTTTTATCTTGGAGGATTGAAGTCCTATATAATTAATAATGAGTGGGCGCTTGCCCATTTACTGCATATTCACTTATTTATATCTTTTTATTTTTTCATTTGAATTCGATGTGGGACAAGCTCACCCTTGTAACAATAATACCATGCTCCGCTGCTTTTTTACGAGTTTCATACTCTAATTAATTAGATAAATACAAAGGGAAACAAGAATTTAAGAGCACAAATTTCTCTTCACATCTTACCAAAGTTCCTAAATTTCAAATAATGAATTACTACTGATCTGCTTTTATTATATGCCACCCAAAATAAAAAAAAATAAAAAAGAAAGTTTTATCAAATGCCTCTATCAAGTCTAGTTAATTGTTAAAATCCACAAGGTTGCAGACTTGCAGTGTGTGAAGGAATTGAGGCGTGCCCTTAACTTGTGTCAATTTATGTGTGGGATATGTGATCGAGAAAAATACTTGGGTATTGGTCATATTCCAAGAAAATGATGTTGTGGGACAGAAAATGAAGAGAAAAATGTCTTCCACCAAAGAAGTGGAATTGGAAATTCTTTCCCTTTGGACTAAACATGCCAATATTGATCAAAAGGCCACCTTTTTGAATGCCTCTTCTGTCCCAAACTACACATAATTTTCAAACCTTCTCCACCTTTCGACATTTTTTTTAGTGCTAATAAGCCCTTCTTGTTCCCCATTCCATTTTTTTTTCTTCTAAATCTTTGCGTATCCGAGCCGTCGCATTCACCAACCCAATGACCGATTTCAAACACAATAAATTTTTTTTTTCTTTTTAATATTATAAGAAGTAGTTTATGCTATGAAAAAGCATGGTTTTTGAAGACAGATTTAAGTGGATAAGAATATTAAATAATTGCAGACATTTTTTTTTTAATCAGTATATGCGTTTTCGGTACATAAAAAAAGAAAAAAAGAAAAAAGAAAGAGAGAGAGAGAGAGAGAGTATATTCTTAGCCTTATTTGATTAGTTCAAATTAGAGAACTTAAGACCAAAATAATTTAAGTACAACCCTGAGCACAAGCAAAGAAAGAAATATATTCTTAGCTGAAATTATTTTAACCAAAATTTCCGTTGACTCATTATAGAATTCTGAAGTTTTGTATGATTTGCCTTGAAAGTTTGAAGAGGTTTGCGTGTGCTTAGGGGTAAAGCGGTGGTACGTTAAACCCCAAGTCCACCTAGGGTAAACAAATATATTAGTATATTCTTAGCCAATGTGTAATTGTACTTGCTCAATTTGTAATTGAGTATTTATTATTATTATTATTATTAATTTTTTTCATTACAAGAATGTTAGGAGTTAGTGAGTAGTAGGAAGAAAGTGCCAAGGTTCAAAGTCTGTTTCCAAGAACAACAAAGAGTAATCCTACTACTTGGATTACTAAGGCATTTTTATACTTTAGTATGTGTAATTAAGACAAGGACAATAATAACAATAGATTGAAATATTTCAGAGAATTATTGGGCAGAATTTGAAAACTTCATGCTTGGGGTGGGTGGGTACAAGGCAATGTTGCAAGAAATTACCGGAAACCCAGTGGCTAAATTCACCTTGTGCGTGTGTGTGTGTGTGACAGAGGGAGATTTAGGTTATATTCTATTAACTTCAATAAGAAACCAACAAGAAATGTGAGCAAGTGGAAATTATATATCATTTCCTATGTCTTCCACTATATGACGGGGAATTACAACTCCCTCCAGATTCCAGACTACTTTTGCATGACAACAACATTTCACTCACTCTATTTTCAAAATAATAATAAATAATTAAACCTCTCCATCTGCTCAGCCTCACAGCAACTATATGCATATATATATGTGTGTGTGTGTGTGTGTAAAAACACACATATCTGAGACGTCATGGCCCTCAACCTAATCCATTACCCAATTTCAAATGAATTTTGCATCCTTATTGTCAAACATTGTTGCCTAATGCCGTGATTAATATAGTATTAAAATACCCATTTACGAAATTTAATTTAAATATTTAAAGTCAGCCCAATCTTGTATTTAGTTGTTACTACTTCATTTTCCACTTTCATATTAATATTAATCACCTTTAGTAATGGTGATTGTCCATTCTCAATTCCACGAAGTAAGTTTTTCTGAAATTAACAATATGATGCTTCGGGCATAAATTAATTAATTAAGATAATAATTAAGTGGCTAAATTATATTTTCAAAATACAAATGATGAATGGGTTAATATAATTGTGATCACTTGAAGAAAGACTAGGAAGTTCTCAAAAAAATAATTAAAGAAAGAGCATGATGTGGAAAATTTGGTTAATTAGTAGTGAAATTAACCAGAAATTCTTTCACATAATTAAATTAGTTCTTCTTTCACATAATTAAATTAGTTCTTTTCTACAATTATGAACCTGATCAGTTGTTTGTCCATAGCCAAAAAGAAATTTGACAATGACTTGACATTACCTGACAAATTATTTAATTTATATTTAATCAAATCTTATGTTTAACTTTGCTGTTCTAAAGTACAGTTTTCCTCTTCATGAATTTTTTTATTAAAATCTATTTCACTATAAGATAAATGTTAATTCACATAAACAATAGTTCAACTGGTACAAGTTTTTTTTATATATATATATTTTTATATTTTATAAAAACACGATTGGTGTTTGAGCTTTTTAGTGGAGATATGACTTTTTTTAATCTGATTTAAATCTTTTATGGTTTCGATTCTTGATACAACTACTTCAGATTTGATGGTGACATCATAAAATAATAATAATAATAAAATAATACATAGATGAAGTAATAATATTGACATGATGTGATCATTTTCAATTGTAATTCTATAAGCTAAATTTTCTCAAGTCATGTTGTTATTGTTAATCCTTTTCAAATTTAACCTTTCATTATTATTTTTATTAAGGTTCGTGAAGTCTACCAAATGTTTATTTTCTTTTGAATTTCATAAACATTGTCGTAATTCAAATAATCATAATAGTCTGATCTCTTTGATTTTGACTAAAAAGGAATTTCTAGCTTGGTGGCACTGGATAGGGGGGCTGTGTGTAAATTCAACGTCAAGTCTCTTGTTGTCATGTGAATGACCCAAGGAGTCACCCATTTTAATCATAATCTATGTGATGCTAAAAATCTTGCGGATGCTTTGCAAGTAAATTTACGGTGCCCTTTTATCATCGTCCCATGTATTTATAATATTCACATTAATTTGGACATATTTTCATGGGTTAAAGTGTCTCGTATGCGACGGCAAGGTAATTGAGCAGCCCATGCCCTTGCATCACTCTCTTCTTCATGCATGTGTGCTGATTGTGTCATCTCTCATCTTTCGATGGAGGTGCTTCAGTTAGTGGAGTTGGATTACTGTCCTTTTATCGGTTAGTTTTTATTCTGTTTGCTAGGAAAAAAAAAATCATAATTTATGTGAAAAATGCCCACTAATGACTTTTCTTTCATTTTCATTATTTTTTCCCGTCATTATCGTATATAGGTGATTTTGATGCACTTGAAAATAATTTAATTTCAAATTAGGGGAAATGATTAAGAATTAATTACAAAAAATGATATATTTAGAGCATTTTTAACAATTTGTTAAAATACTCTTTTGTGTAAAATAGAAGCTGTTACGTATGATGTGTAAATTTTTTATTTTATTTTATTATATATAGATATATATATCTTCAATAGCCTGTTAAGATACACTGCCACGTCACCAATGTGTAAAATTATTTATCATCATCTTTCTCTTTCTATTAACTAATAAACCCTATATTAAGTGGATTTATAAAAATTATGTGGGTCCATACATAATAGTGGTTGATTGTTATTGAATAATATATTTTTACACAAAAGGTATAAAATAACATTTAGAGCTAAAAATAATAATCTGAATTTTTTTTGTGTAAATCTATTATGACACAGATTTATACAATATATATATATATATATATATATATATATATATATATAGATATAGATGTTGTTATTTATCGACATGATATATATAGAGTAACTTCAAAGTATGATCCTGTATGCTTTCTCTTCACGCAAGACAAAACGTATTGCATATAAATCCCCATCCCGAGCTGGCTAAAGAAAGAACCATCTAAAAATCAATTTATTAAATGAAATACTCCGTAGACATGAGCTTAAATACTGCATGCGAATGATTCGTAGTGAATCATAATTAGACATATATAGCATTTAATATAATTTTTAGTTACTTTAATTACAAAATTGTAATAATATCACCAAAAGTATCTTGACAAGTAACAACCGAGTATGATATTTTTTTGGGTCATACAAAGATAATGATATGAATTAACTCAAACTGGTCCGAGATATTTGAAATCAGCTAGCACCAAATATATATATATAGATAAATGAATGGACATAAAAAAATAAAAAATAAAAAACCAAAATAGTCTGCATTAAGATGAAGTAAGAAAAGCTGTAGAAGAAAAAGATGTATATATATAGACTCGAATAATTCATAAGATAATTTATATAGTCTTTTTAAACTCATCAATTTACATATTCCCGGAAAGTACTCTAACAAAGGCAAAACCTGAATCAGTAGAAAGAATCATTATGACAAGAGAGAGAGAAAAAAAAAAAGAAAAAAAGAAAAAAAAAAAGAAAGAAAGATAGAAATACAAAGCTCATTCACTAGTATTAATTGGTGTGTGAAATCAACCATGAGAGATCTCAGACTTGTTCAATATGGCTAGTGAAAGAGACCGGCTTTGCTAGGTACGTGGGGATGTCATCTCCGGCCATGATGACGATCTTCGGCTCCATTTCTGGCTTTAGAACCTGCACAGGCTTGGCTGGTTCTTCTTGGACTTCACTTGTTGAATCAGAAGTACTAACTTTTTTGACTGAGAAAGCTAGAATTACCAATGCTAAGGCGATTACTCCCAACATCATAGCTAGGCCGCCAAAGAGGTAAGGGATTGGTGAATTCCACCGGTGGAATCCGATGTCAACGGTGGTGGCGTTGGCGGAGATGGTGGTGGTATTTCCTGGTCTCATCTCTTCTTGTCCCTCTCTCTTTTTTCTCTCTCTAGTTTTGACAGTGCAGAGTGGAATGTGTTTGATAACCTTTGTAATTAACTATTTATAGAAAACAAACACACTTCCACAGTGGCATGGATTAGGATGACAAAGGGGTGAATTTGTTAATTTTCAAAAATGCCCTTAAGTATGGAGTTTAAAAGTGGGGATTCTTTAATTTCTTGTGCTTCACTCATCCGTGCATTGAGTTCTTTGCAAGTCTCTCCATTCATTGGGGCTCCCAAATTTACACTTTATTACCTCAAATTACACAACTCCAAGTTTTGAAAATTATACTAGTTGTTTAAGTTCTAACAAATTAGTTTAATTGGATAAATTGATACTCATTATCGGTGATGGACCAGAAATTATTTTGAGGAGCCATCGTCGAAAAATAAAAAAAAATTGTAGACAAATTTGGAAATTTTTTTTTGTGAAGTGAGCATTTTAAAAATTGAGTTGGGTATTTTTGAAATTTTAACTAAAATTTTAAGTAATAATATAAATTAGAAAAAATTCAGTGAAGAAATTAGTAAGATTAAAAATGTGAAGGGGGCATTTTAAAAAATTGAGTAGAAATATTTTTAAATTTTTATTTAAAACTATAAGTAATAATGTAAATTAAAAATAAATTCGGTGAGGACATCCGGGCCCCACTGGTCGGACTGGACCGTGCCTGCTCACCATTCCATACATCATTGTCGAATAAAAGGTAGTCAAGATTAGGAAGGGCATTTTAGTGATTTAATGGTCACAAAAGCATTTAAACCATATGAGTCATTCTTTGATATTAAGAGGGTAGTTTTATAATTTCAATACAGTTTTAAAAGCCCATGTCCGGGGAATGAAGCAACCCACACGAAAAGGAAGAATGAGTGTGAAGTGAATTCTACCCATATTTGCTTTTGGCATTTTGCTTATCCAGGTGCAGGGCCCACTAAACGTGTCCTTTCGGTTCAAGTACAACTCTTATTTTCTTTTCCCATTTTACCCATGGGACGCATAGTTATTTCAATGGGGATAACACATACAATGTAACATCATCATCATGTCTTAATACCATGGAACGTAAATTTACTCTCCAAATTTTTGGTTAATTCACCTATTATATTTAAAATTTTAAATTATTTTTAATAACTTCATCCTAAATTATTTTTGGCCGCTTACTCATCTTTTACTTTGTATTAGAACTAATCTTTCTCACCAATAGATTGTAACACATTATCTAATTATATATTGGATAAATTTTGATGAGATTTATCTTTAGTTTGTTAGGGATTTTGTTTAAATTTTAAAATCGTGAGATAAAAATATAATGTGATTATTCTAAAATTTCAATTTAAATAGGTATTTCTAGTCGTTACTCTTCTCGTTTATTTCCATAAAATACGTCCCTTTTACTTTTCTTATCTTTTTAATTTTTCATAAACCATTTCTTTATATTTTTTTAGTTTTCCATACATAAACTCGTCATCTTTTTCTTTTTTTTTTTTTTATTTTCTTTTTTATTTTCATAACAAGTTTCATGGTACTCATAAGAATTTAATTTGTACAAAACCTAAAACAAAAACTACAATGTTTTATAGTTTTTAAATGTTTGGCAATTTTTTTTAAATACCTCTCCTTGTTTTTGTTTCTAGAAGTCAGATAAATCATTAGCTTTAATCATTATAATAATTAATAAATGCCTATTAAAATAATAGATGGATATTGATGATCAAAGATACAATCTTTTATATATAACGTGAAATTCTAATCTTAAGAGCCCTTACAGAGATGCAATGTAATGCATATATAAAATTTATACACAATTTGATATACATAGTGATTGAAGCGTTTATGGCATACTAGATTACTCCGTTTGTTTGACCGTAAACATGTTTTTTTGGATTGTCTTAAAATATTTAGGAAGAAAAAAAATATTAAAAATTAACAAAAATAACTCACTCATTAACTTTCGGCAAGCTATTTTACAGGCTTACCCAATAGACGCGACCTAGATCTTTGCAAAATACTAAAATATAAAAATAAAAGAAAATATTTTACTTGAAAAAAGATATTTTACAGGAAACATTTTAAAATAAAATAAAATGAGTCCCATTATATTTGATATATATATAAGTAGTCAATATGCTCGGCGGATTAGTAAGTTTTTATTTGAAAGATAAATAACACATTTTTTATTAAAAAAACTTTCACAATATTTTTAAGAGAAATAAGAAGAGATGCTACTGAACCACTGTAAAATGAAATATATTCATCAATTTTCATATTCCCGTAACGAACTCTTAACAAAGGCAAAGTCTAAATCAGTAGAAAGAATCATTATGATAATTTAAAAAAAAAAAAAAACACAAAAAAAAAAAAAAAAAACAAATCTCAGACTAATTGCTGTGAATATTCAAGCATGAGAGATCTCAGACTTGTTTCGTATGGCTATCAGAAGAGATGGGCTTTGTCAAGTACGTGGGGTTGTCATCTCCGGCCATGATGACGACTATCTTTGGCTCCATTTCTGTCTTTAAAACCTGCACAGCCTTGCTTGGTTCTTCTTGGACCCCACTTGATGAATTAGAAGATTTTTTTTGGTATGAGCAAGCTAGAATTATCAATACTAACGCGATAAGTTGCACCATGATAGCTAGGACACCAAAGATGCAAGGAATTGGTGAGTTCCTCTTGTGGAATCCGGCATCAATGGTTGTGGCAGTGGCAGTGGCAGTGCCGGTGGTGGCGATGGTGGTGGCGATGGTGGTGGTATTTGTTGGCCTCATCTCCTTGTCCCTAGCTTTCTGTTGTTTTCTCTATAGTTGTAACACTGCGTTGCATGTACTATATAAATCTAGAATGAGGGTGGATGATTTGTTGAGTTCCAAAAAATGCCCTCAAATATGGAGTTTAAAAGTGGACTCTTTATATGTGGCGTGATAACCTGGTTGTAGGGCATGTGGTGTTTGGGACATTTGGTACCGATTTGAATCCCACCTCATCAACAAGCTAACATACAAATTTTCTTATTTTGAAAAAATATATATATATATATATCTTATGATTTACGTCAGATTGCGCGTGTTCTTTGCAAGTCTCTTCATTCATTGGGCTCCCAAATTTACCCTTTATTATACCTCAAATTTGACAATTCCAAGTGATTTCTTCGTTCGTTGGGTAATGACAGCAAATACAAATGCAAGTGCTGGTAGAGATCAATTGTTGCCTAATTAGGTAATTATACTTGTTTAAGCTCTAACAAATTAGTTTAATTAGACAAATTAATACTAACTTCTCCATATACCTTATAGAGGCAAATTTCCATTTATGGAGTTTTTTTTGCAAATGAAAAAAGAAAAGGGAAAAAACCAAAAAAATTAAATATAAATGGTAAAGATTTGGAAGGGTATTTTAGTCATTTGATGGTCACAAGCATTTAATCACGAGTCGATCTTTTGATATTAAGAGGGTATTTTTCAAATTTATCAGTCTTAAAGGCATTGTCTATGGAATGAAGCAACCTAGTACCTACACGAAAAGGAATAATGAAAGTGAATTTAACACATTATCAAATATATATATAATTTAAATAAAAGGGAAAATTACATATAAATGGAGTCAAATTTTCATATTTACTTAGAGGCTGAGTCAAAGTTCCATATTTCTCTAAAATGGATTGCTGAGGTGGCACATGGTTTTTTACTGTTTAGAAATTGTGGTGCCTAAAATACCCTTCCGCGAAGGTACTACTTTTTCTTCGAAGGTACTACTTTTTTGAACTGAAGGTACTACTTTTTGGTGTCCAGGTACCATGTTTTTTAAACACCCGCGAATGTACTACTTTTTCTCCGAATGTACTACTTTTTTAAACTGAAGGTACTACTTTTTTGAACTGAAGGTACTACTTTTTTGTTAGGGAAGGGCATTTTAGGCACCACAATTTTCTAAACAGTAAAAAACCATGTGCCACCTCAGCAATCTATTTTAGAGAAATATGAAACTTTGACTCAGTTTCTAAGTAAATATGGAACTTTAACTCCATTTATATGTAATTTTCCCTAAATAAAATCCCTAACACAAAATACCACAAGGTTAACAATTGACAGAACTCCTTTCCAGGTTAAATCATAAAACTGTACTAAATGAACCAATTAACAAAACCTAAAATTATGGCATAGAATCAACAAAACTAAAAGGTAACAATATACAAAATAAAAGTGATTGAAATAATACAAAAGGTGAGGCACGCATAATGCTTGGTCCCAAAGGAAGAATATATAAGGAGTTTGACATAATCACTGTGATAAAATTGTCATCCAAATAGGACCTTAAGTGATTCAAAAAGATGAAATTGTTCCTTTAATATTTAAGTGAGTTCTGGTTAAAATATCAATGTGTTGAAAAGTCAAAATTACCCTTGAGTTACTATAGCCACACCAAGATCCAACATCATGTGTCTTATTCTCTCTCAATTTGGGATATATATATGTATATGTACATTCTGATTTCTAGCGATTTTATTTTTATTGTTCCTTCTTGTTGTGGGGTTCAATAAAATTGGGGGCTTCACTGAAGGAGAGAAAAGTTACGGGGGTCTTCTTTTTCGACTGCAATACTTCTCTAAAAAAAATACCATCTTCAATTTTGGAGTTCTTTATTTGATTTTTTGTTTATTTTTTCCGTCTTGGCCTTTTTAAGATTCTAACGTGTATGCTTATTTGGACGGTGATTAGGCTGAATTTGATGGTGCATATATATATATATATGGTGACACAAGTATGTGTAGATGCATGTACATATATTTTATATATGAATGTGTTGTTTTGATCTTTGATGATAGTTGAATGCTTTTTAATCTTTTGATATGTGGATGTAGTTTTGGTAATTGATGCTATTTAATCATTTGATCCAGTGTTTCAAGTGACGTGGTCATTTGAAAGTGTTTATGAAACAGTTAATAGATTTAACAACCGATACCATAGGACTGCTGAAATTTCGAAGTGTCTGAAATTGGGGTTTATGTGTTTGTGTAATTATTTTTGATGAATTTTTGAATGGAAGTTACGTTTTTAGGCTCTGTTTAGATACTCGACGTGAAACATCTCTTATTTCATGCTTGCAGGCCACTAAATCGGCATTGAAGGATTGACTGTGCAATTACTTACTAATTTTTTACAAATAAATTATTTTTCATTTGTTTCACAGGTAGTAATGACAGGGATATGTAGGAAACGTCTATTATTACTAGTAGTTTGAGTGTGCTTCACATTTTTTTTTTCATCAAATGTTATTAGATGGTTCAAATCATTAATTTGTAAAGTAAAAAAGGTTAAATGGTTAGTTAATTAATTTTTCATGTGTCAAATGTGACATGTGGCTGTTGAGGGTGTCTTTATCAACTTTTTCAAACTTTAGGGAGCGCCATTGTTCAAAAAATAGCCAATTATCAATAGGACAAACCTCAAGAACGTAATTATAATTAACCCTAAATTATAAATGTGTAACTGATTTATGTTCATGTCCTTAGTTAGTTAACCGTTAATATGGGTCAACAATAATTTTTGCAACATCATCAACTTAGAATATTAAAATACCAAATTTGTTCATATTATTTCAATTTTATTTTGTCCATATATATATATATATATATAGGTAAGCATTTATACATATAATTTCATTAATGATTTTAAGGAAATGGATATTCACATGTTCCATTCATTCGATACACTTCAGGTTCAAACTCTTGGGTGTGAATATCATTGCTCTTATAATTTTTTGTGTAAATTGCACAGGTAAATCATCAGCTTTTATTACTTTAAGCTTCCCCAAACATATTCGTTGACAGCTAGAAAATAACTGTGTGTGAAAAGTCAATAAAACCCTAATTTTCATATAGAAGAAGGTCACAATTTTCATACAAGGAAAGGACAAATTTGTCATTTTATAAAATTAGTTCAATAGGTCTACGAGAAAAAAAAGAAAAAAAGATGGTCAGCAATGCTGTTGAGCACACCCACCAAATTTCAAGGGAAGTCAACATAATAAATGTTGAATGATCTCGTATAATTTATTCAAACTTCAATAGAGAGATTGTAATAAACCCTAATTTTGCTAGTTTAATGGAAAGTAAAATTTAGGTTTTTCCTTCTATTTGGAAGCCGACATGGTAATCTAGCCTAATATGAACAAGAGGTACATTGTAGGGAACATAGTTATCGTGAATATGGTTAATGCTGGGGTCATGTTTGGTATACTCAAGCAAGGGGAACACAAGGGTCCAACAGTCGCAACCAACCTTTTTCATGCCCACCAATAACCTTCCCAATCAATTTCACATACCTAAGTTGAATACCATTCTGCAAAGAAGACACGGAACTGTGTCACATCCGTGCTACAATTAAAGTTAATTTTGTTAACCAAACACACCATATCTTTTTCAGTATTGCATTTTATATCAACTATAAATAAAGGGGAAAAAAAAAAAAACATTTTAACACTTTATTTTCATATTTAGATTCCATGATCAATGAGATTTATATGATCAGAGATATGAGTTCCTCACATGATGTCAGATAAACTATTTTGAAAATGTCCTTAAGCCATCTAATAATTTGTCATTTATTTGATTGATGAAGTCAAAACAGAACCTTATCATTTAATTATGAATGAATTTCAGCACACATACTGTATTGCAAATCAGCATGTGAAGGTCATGCGATGCGCGTCATCAAATGCATTTATGATTACATGCAATGTATCCATGAGAAAATTGTTGGCTAGACACAGATTATGGTATATAATAATACTTATTAAGATCATATAATATATATATATATTAATTAATATGAGGTGGAGATATGACTAGGATGATGAAGATGAGGATGAACGTAAAAGAAGTGGTGGGCTATGGAATTAAAATGAAAGTGGGAGTGGGTGGAGGGGTCCTTTAGATTTGAAAGAGAAGCGCTGTTAGATTATGTTACTGGCCCTCCCAGCGCCAATACACACGACATACTTTGTCAACTCATTCACACACACACACACACATTTACGATATTCCATCTCTTTTTATGGGATTTAATCTTATTTACCGATCAATTTGAAAGTCAAAGATTTCTTATTACCTGATATTATGAATTTTGACTTGATTTCAAATACCAATTATGTCATGTTTCACATCACCTAGGAAAATTTTGTAACACTTTTGGATGTCTCTTATCATATAATCGTCTTGAATATTGTTTCGAAGATTGTTAGTGTCAAAAAAAAAAAAAAAAAAGAAGAAGAAGAAGAAGAAGAAGAAGAAGAAAATAGTGTAAAACATACCTTATTTTCATTGAGCCGGCAATATTTCATATTGTTTTAAAAGAAAAGTTTTGTATGGACGTGTTTTGAATATCGTAAACCAAGAAGGTGGAATGCACGGATTCTAAAAATAAAAAGGATAGAACAAACATATTGTTCTTCTTAGAATTTCTTAAAGCGTAAGAGAATGAGCACTTATTTACTTTTAAGGAGGAATAATTCAACTCGTCATAAGATAATATAAGTTAATATTAGACATCTATTTGTTCACACAGAATGGAATAATGCAAAAAGTTGAAATAATGACTTCTCTCAACAAATTAAAAGCCTATTAATGCTTAATTGCATCATTGGAGCAACAATTCAATGGTTTAAAAGTTCCAACTTGAAGATTTGAAGATTTAATCCGAATCCAATTATCCAACTCAACTTGAGTTCCAATACAAACTTTTCAGTTCAAGCTCAGTTTCTACTTTAACTCTTTAAATCTAGCCACGTTCGACTTGAGAAAATCAAGTTATAATTCGTGTTTGAATTTGGAGGCATGTTCGACCTCCATAAAAATAAAATAAAATCATCCATTAAAAGATTCAAACTTAAACAAATAATTAATTAAACATTTCACTATCATGAAAAGAAAAAAAATAAACAAACAAAGTTTTCATCATATAGGTATGTTTTTAAGTCGAGTTAGATTTTTGTCTTTTTTTTTAGTTATATTCATTTTGGCTTGAACTTATTTTTGGAAACACTCTATCCAAACTCAAGCCGGAGTAAATTTTTAATTGAAAATTTTCAATCAAAACTGAAGCTAACTTTTTTCTTCTTTATATATAGAACAATAGTTGGGTGCTCCTTTTAGAGGATAAAGTTCATCCTCCCAAGTGATGTGGTCCAATATAATCTAGACACATGTTTAAAATTTTAAATTTTTTAAAAATAATCATTACCCATTTTCTTACAAGTTAAACCGAATCTTAAAGTAATTTTATTTTTATTTTTTCCTTTCCAAAAGAGTCACAATTATTTCTATACCCGAATTGAAAAATTACTAAATTTATTTAGAGAATGTACTACATCAATTATTGAATAGGGAAGGAATTGGAGCTGAAAATATTATATAAAAATTTAATGTTAATCCATATTTGAATAGAGCTTTTCTGGTATATATATTTCTTAGTGAGCGGTAGCTTTTCTTGTATATCTAGTTTTGGTCAGAGTTAAATCTATCTTTTGCATCCCACCCAAGTTCCCAACACTTTCTATTGATAGGGCTAAGGGTTGGTTTTTTGCTTTTTGTTTTTTTCCCCCTTTCTCTCATTGGCGGAAAGTATGAAAAAGAAATATTAAAAGTTTGTGAATACTGATTGGTACAGTTTTGTGTCACTTATGAGCTTTTGTTAATTTATATTATTTTACTTATTGAATAAAAGTTATGAATAAAAGTTGAGTGTTTGATTGATATAGATAAACTAGGATTTCATATTGAGGTTGGGTAGATTTGTTGGGGGAGAGAAAGGGGGAAGAAAAAAAAAAAAATGGCTTGGGTTTAAGGGATTCTAAAAATTTTAAACAGAAAAAAAAAAAAAAAAAAAAAAAAAAAAAAAAAAAAAAAAGATTTTGGTTTAACAGTAAGAAGTTGGATAATAACCATTATAAAAATTTTAAAAATTTAGACATGTATCTTAATTGTATTGGACCACTTCAGTTAGGAGGATGGTTGGGAGGACCCAAGTATTGTCCTTATATATATATACACACACACACACATACTAGTATTTTTTTGTTTTAAGAAACCGAAGTGGTAAAGAAGGGCCCAATTATAGAGGCCTCAATTGTTGTCTTGGACTCTATAAAATGACAGAAGTCCAACTCTAAAGTCCAAACCCTAGAAGCCCTGATCCTGGTCCCAACCGCACAAGACCAATCAATGATTGGTCCGATTCAAAGCCCATTCGATATCGGGTTACAAATAATTCTAATGCGACACGACAAAAGATAACAGACCATTAAGCGCCTGCCACGGTATCACTGATATATTAGTCCCGGTGTTCATTCATGAGTTCGACGTTGACGTTGATCATGAAAGAAAGAGCACCACCACCGCTGACCGTCGATCCTTATATCTCTTTAATCTTCCCTCCGGTAAGATTTGTCCTTCCCCTGCCGATTTGCATTCTGGATATTTAAATTTTCGTTGTTATATTCCCTATTGGTCATGAATCGTTGACATTCAAATATAGGTTTAACTGATTTTCATCCTTTTTTTGATTTTGCATCATATATATCACGAATTCTTGACATTCAAATCGAGGTTTACCTGATTTTAATCCCCCTTTCTTGATTTTGCATCATCTATGCAAAATAAACAGTTGACATAGTTTGCTGCTGATGTAATTGGACATGTAGTGTTTGTTGCACAAGACTACACTGGGGTAGGAGAGATGGAACATGGAGAGAAATCCATGAATGGTACGCCTTCATAATTTTGATTATCTTTATTATTTTTTGGTTGTTCAATCGGTGTAATATTGCTATTTTCTTTGCTTCCTTCTCGCCTTTGTTGTAGTGTTGTTGATATTGTTATATTGGGCGAGTCCTTTCTGTTGAAGTTTGTAATCCATTTATTTTTCTACACTCATATATTTATCATTCCTATACCAAATGTTTCGATGCAACTGTTAAAACTTAACCAACCCTCGTGGATGTACTAGGAATATTTGAACTTCTCGGAAGTTCGGGCACGTGCCACATTAGATGTGTTGCCTTGCTATGTGGGGATATAATTAGTGATTGGAAACGAATCTTGGAATCTAAACCTTCATTGCCAGTGAGAGCTTTGCTCGAACATACATAATGAGTATCCTCATAATTAGGGGTAACTAAAGTTGTTAACATTGAAAGAATTACTTGTATGGAAGATGAATAACTTCAAAAAATTTATTGATGAAATGGGGATTTTGATATGGATGACCATTTAAACAAGGATGGAATTAGAAAGCGATACCTGACTAGAAGTATGAGATGGCAAAATCAGAGAGTCAGCTGAGATGGTTTGTCTAGTGTAATGAAGATCAAGGGCTTTTGTAACCCTGGTTATGAAATTGAGGTTCAATGTGAAGGCAAAGGAATTAAAGTGTGACGAAAGAAATGGTAGCCTATCTTGTAACAAAAATATAGCCATACTTCAGCTATGCTTCATGGACCTGAAAGTCAGCAGCAATTCCACTGAAGGAAACGAAAATGGAAAAGGTTGGACAAGCTGGGACAATACTACTCATTTGCTGGCAATAGTGCCATAAAGCTGTGGAGCAAGTTACGAACTACCCTGGTGAAAGTCTTTCCGTCCATTTAAAACTAGCACTCAACTCTTTTCTTATTTGTGCATTATAACCACTGAAACAAAGTTCTGTTTTCAGTGAATATTGGTTATTCTAAGAATATATCGCTATTACATTACGGAGTACGTAGTATATGTTTCATTTTTTATTTTCTCTGAAGAAACTCAAACAAAGAAAGCTAGTTACAGTAGTTATCTTAAAATCTAAATTGGATTTAAATTTGAAGGGGCAGAAAGAAAAAAACTAATTGTAGCATTTATTTTAAATTCTAAATTGGATGAATATTTGAAGAGACAGAAAGAAACTGTATTAATTTGCGATATTGCCAATGAAAAATTCTAGTTGGTGCGATCAACTTGATAAGAATTTAAAAGAAATTATTGTAACCGTTTATGAGAAAAGAGGATTCGATAATATTAGTATAACTTGTATTAAGAGAAAATATAATTAACATAGTAATTGCTTTATGCTTATGTACCCCAAGTAGGCATACATGAACACATTAAAACACAATTTTGGGAACATATGAATGAATTAGTATTAGGACACCGAAGTCGAAAAAGTATATATAGAAAGAGACTTTAACGGTCATGTAGGAAAAAATGGTGGAGGATATGAGATGGTACACGGTGGACATAAATTTGGAGATAGAAATGAGTTGGGGAGGCTATCTTAGATTTTGCAGTAGCATACAATCTATAATTAGGAACACCTATTTTAAAAAGCGAGATGAACATTTAATAACCTTTAAAAGTGGAGCAAATATGAGTCAAGTCAATTTCTTTTTAACTAGAAAGGTAGATCGATTAACAAGCAAAGATCGTGAGGTTATCCCAGGAGAGAGTTTACGACATAGACTACTTGTTTTAGATTTATATATAAAAAGACAATCTAAAAGGAGAGCTGGGTGATGGAATTTAAGAGGAGAGAAAGTAGAATTATTTAAGAATAGGATGTTAAAAGAAGCAAAATGGTATGTAGAAGATGAAACAAATTTAATGTGAAATAAGATGACTACATGTATTGAAAGAGTAGCAAAAGATGTTCTTGGTGAATGAAAAGGAACATGACCATTATCTAAGGGAACTTGGTGGTGGAATGAACGAATCCAAAACATTGTAAAAACAAAATGGGAACGCTATAAAACTCGGCAAAATACTAGAAAAATGCAAAAATGTCAATAAGGAAGTTAAAAAGTAGTAAGTGAAGTAAAATATTATTCTATACTAGACACAAAAGGTTTTTTTTTTTTTTTTGGGGGGGGTGGGATTACAAACTTAAACTAAGGGCCGAAAAAACAAGAGATTTTAGCCATATTAAATGCATTAAGAGCGAAAATTCAGGGGTTTTAGTAAAAGATGATGTAATTAAAGAAAGATGGAAAAGTTATTTTATAATTTTTAATGAAAATCATCTCCGAAGTTCAAGGTTAGAAGAATATAGTAACCTTAGATTTATCAAAAAAAGAAAAGAAAAAAGATTATAGCAACTTTAGGGATAACATATTTTTCCATAGGGTTAAGGAGCATGAGGTTAGAAATTCCTTAAGGAAAATGTAATTAGGAAGGGCTTTAGGGCCCGATGGAGTTTTTATTGAGGTTTGGAAATTTCTAGGGGAGGATGGCTTGTCTTGCTTTACAAAGTTGTTTAATAAGATAGTAACAACTAAGAGAATGCCCTATGAGTGGTACAAAAGTAATTTAACACCTATATATAAAAATATAGGGGACATACAAAGTTGTAATAATTCTCATGTTATTAAATTAATGAGTCATACTATGAAACTTTGTGAGAGAGTGATTGAACAATGTCTAAGACGAGAGGCTGAAATGTCGAAAAATTAATTTGGACTCATGCCGGAAGGTCAACAACGGATGCTATTTACTTATCGAGGAGAGTAGAAGAAAGATTTTCATATGATTTTTGTTGATTTAGAGAAAGCCTATGATAGGATACCTAGGGAGCTAATATGGAGGGTTTAGAAAAGCAAGGAGTCACAAAGAGATATTTACACAATAAAGGAGATGTATGATGGTTTTGTAACTTTAGTTAGAACGGCTGTAGGGGAGATGAATGAATTTTCAAATACTGTAGGCTTACATCAAGTGTCACCATTAAGCCTATACCTATTTGCTTTATTTATGGAGAGCTGACAAGACATATTGAAGATGAAATTTCATGGTGTATGTTATTTGTTAATAGTTTTGTCTGAATTAAGGAGGCACTAAGCAGCCACTGCATTTGTACTCTCATATCGTCCTTCAGTTTATTGGTAGCAGCCTAACTTCTAACTGCATTATTCTATTGAAATGACATCCTTGTACTCATTTTTCGGAAGACCTACTATTGCATTCCCTTTATTTGCCAAAATATATAAAATACATATAGAGCCCATATTTGTGTGTGTGTGTCTGTGTGTGAGTTTTCTTTATAATTGATTTGGTATGATTTAGGATTGATGATTAAATTTTCTAATCGAGCATTTCTCCTTTTAATTTTTTGTGCATGTTAAAGATGCTGAAGCCGGAAAATGACTGCAGTAGCTGGTTGCCAGTGCAGAATTTGAAACTCAATCTGAAGGGTTGAATAATATGCATAGAGAACAAAAAGATGTTGTTACATCAACTGACTCCGTATGCATCTCGTGTTTCTATTTTGTGTGGTTAAGCTTAATTTGTTTCCTATGCATATCCCATAGCTTGAAAAAGTGCAACCTACTTTTTATTTTTTTATAAGGATACACTGATGGCCTACCTTTCACGTGAGAGCATGGCTCTGCCAACCTAGACTCTCTTCTGTTGTGTGTGTCTGCATTTTGTTATGTTTTTTTTCCACTTGTTACATATGCTGGTGGAATAACACAAATGGTGACAATGAGGTAAGAAGCTTAGTCTCAATTCAGTGGAGTGAAAGCACCATACACGGACAATTGTAGTGCAGAAATGGATGGTCCATGGTCCCAGGGATCATCACTTACTGAGTTAAAAGCGAAAAAGCTCAAGTAGGCTCAGATGATTCTCACAACAGACAGTAGGGGTGTCAACTTTCTGAGCATCAAGTACTTTACAAATTAAGGCTCTGCTTAACTTAATCTGCTTAACTTTATCACTTCACTCTTTATCTCCAAGTTTACATCTACAAAAGCAAAAAGTAAACTGCCTTTATCGACAACTTTTTTGGATGGAAATTGCAATATCTTTTGCCCTTAACACAATGGTAGTGTGAGCTTTCTTTAACAATCACTTTCCAAACCTTCATGACCTTGCTTTATATTTCACCTGAACCAAATTTTCAGCTGTGTTTTGATAACTGAAGGATCAAGTAGATGTAAAACAGTGAAGACAAAATAATGTATTTTAGCTAGTGTTTTCAAATGTAATTAATTACATCTGATTGTTTAATCATCCAGACAGTCTATCGTGACCTTTCTGGTTTTTCTAAAACACAGTCTTTGAAACAACCGGAATGACATAATTTATAAACATTATAGTAAGAGAAATTATCTAGGTTATGAAATGATGGCATTTATAAACATTATAACATATTTAGGCCTTCAAATACGATTTTTTTTTAACTGTTTTTCACAAGGAAAAAGATAATTTTTTCTTTACTCTTTGCTCCTTAATTGAATAATACCATTTTTATGCATGTTGTTGATTGATTACCCTGTTAGTAATCTTTCATGAATGACTTGATATCCACTTGGTCTTAGGAACATTATAATAATGTAGGGTTGGCTTTCTGCATTATAGGCGGGATAGTATAGAACTGAGAAATTATTTGGTCACGATCAAATAAGACTATTGACGGATAGAAAATTGGAATTTCTACACATTGAATGAGCTAAAATGTGAGGTAAACATTTAATACATCTAACTCTATATGAAGATGTGGCCATTTATATGCCGAAATGGTCAAGCAGGTTGCGTATAAGCATTGTGCCTTGTTTTTTTCCCCCAAGTATATAAGCATTCTTCATTGATTCTTTTGTTACTAGAAGTCATAGGGATTGATCTGTAGCATTAAATGATGGCACATAGAATTACTGATGTGTTTATTCAAGGTCAGGGCATTTGAATCTTGTTTTGTGCTCCGTGATTTTTGGTCTGTACTAAGACAACTCTTGATGATGTTTTTCCTTTTCAAAAGGTGAGTAATTTATGTACACAAAATACAAAGGGCATTAACCTAGCCATTACATTAATGGAAGGGAGATCCTCACCAGCTACTATAACTGAAGAGGGCATTCCCTCCACACTACCATTCTAACAATATGAGGCATAGATCATCTGTGAACCATTTATACAATTACTTCGGTCTTTGTAACTGAATTAAGGAGGCACCAAGTAGTCCTGCATTTATATTCTGATATTGTTCTTCTGTTTAATGGTAGCAGCCAGACCTATAACTGAATTTATAATTAAGTTAAGTTTATATTAAATTGACGTCCTTGTACTCTTGATGATCGATTTGGTATTATTTATGATTGATGAAGAACTATTCTAATGGAGCATTTCTCCATTTGAATTTTTGGTGCTCTGGATTAAATTAAAGATGGTCTAAGAAGATATCTCATTAGGTCCATGTAGAGAAAATGATGGCAGTAGCTAGTTGCCAGTGCAGAATTTGAAACTTAATCTGAAAGGTCGAATAATATGCCATAGCAAACAAAAGGATATTGTTACATCAGCTGACTCAGTATGCATCTCATGTTTCTTTTTTGTGTGGTTAAGCTTACTTTGTTGACTATGCATATCCCCATAGGTTGAAAAAGTGCAACCTACTTTTGTTAAAAGGGTACACTGATGGCCTACCTTTCACTTGAGAGCACGGCTCTGCGAACCTGGACTCTCTTTTGTTGTATATGTCAGCAATTTTTATTTTTTTATTTTATTTTTTTCACTTTTATATATGCTGGTGGAATGAAACAGATGGCTGACAATGAGGTAAGAATCTTAGTCTCAGTTCAGTGGAGTAAAAGCACCTATACAGTACCAATTGTAGCGCAGAAATGGATCCCCATGGTCCCAAGGATCATCACTTGTTGCGTCAAAAGCGAAAAAGCTCAAGTAGGCTCAAATGATTCTCACAGCAGACAGAAGGGGTGTCAAGATTTTGAGCATCAAGTACCTTACAAATTAAGGCTTTGCTTAATTCCTTTCTGGTTGTAATTTAATTTGCTTAATTTTGTTTCTTCTCTCTTTATCCCCAACTTTATATCTAGAAAAGCAAAAAGTACACTGCTTTTATAAGCACTTTTTTTAATGGAAATTGCAATATCTTTTGCCCTTAAGGCGATGGTAGTGTTGGCTTTCTTTAGCAATCACTTCCAAACCTTCATGAGCTTGCTTTATGTCACCTGAACCAAATTTTCAGCTGTGTTTTGATAACTGAAAGATCAATTAAAAACGTAAAGGACTGAAGACAAAATAATGTATTTTAGGCTTTTTAGCTAGTGATTAGTTCCTGTTGTTTAATCATCCGGACGGTCTACCCTGATCTTTCTGGTTTTCCTATGTAACGTAATCTTTGAAACAAGTTAGTAACATTATAAGAAAAGAAATTATCTAGGTTACGAAATGATGTCATTTTTAGACTCTGAATAGCTAGATAACATTATATGGTCTTGAGGATTCCCTTAGCAAATTTAGTCTGTTAAAGCTCTTATATCCATGTACATGCATAAAATATAAATGATATGCATGATTTCTGTTGATTGTAAGCTTAAATAGGGAGGTGGAGATCTGGGAAGTGCATCACGAATGCCTGTATTCAATAGGAAAGCAGCCTGACTTTTACTCCATAAGGAGTGCTTCCCAAGTAGTATTAAATTTTAGAAGCAGAACTCTCAATAATGTAAAACACTAATAAATTGTCAATTACACCATAGGAAAATTGGTTAACTTGGTTGAGAGATTTTTCGGAGAGCAGGGTAATAGGAATATAGTGAAAATTAACTTAATGTACAGAGGAAACACTTTAAAGTTGTACTATTACTTAATTTGGTTGATGCATCGCCGTGCATGTGGTAGGATTTGAAAACCTAGGTGTCTCGGGACATCCCTAGTGGTATATTTTGCCTTGCACACACGATACCTTCAATACTTGAATATATTTGGGCCTTCCAATACATTTTTTTAATTTAGCTGTTTTTCACTAGGATGAAGATAATTATCTTATGCTTTGATTCTTAATTGAATAATGTATTTTATTGATTGATTACCTAATTAGTAATCAAGTCATAGCATTGGAATCACTGGGTGGGCTAAACTACTGACAGTTCACTACCATAGGGTAAAAGGTCATACAACATGGAGGAAGATATTATATTTCAACAGTTAGTGAGGCTTAGAATCACACTTCATCTTTACCTAATTCAAGCAACTATAACTTTCTTTGATGCAGATTAAAATTCCTTATTTTGATAACATTTGAGGATTATGTATATTCTCCTTTTAAATGATGTTTTCATTTTTTTACATTCCAATATGACACTGAAGTTCTTTACTTGGAGAGGAGACATGGACATTTGTTGCCTATCTTGGTGCAGGAACATCAACTACACTAAATCAAGAATCTTTGGCTGCAACTGAAGTGAAGAAAAGGTAGTAGGGCTAGCAACTTGGAAATGCTCAGATGGTTGTTTCATTCGAAAAGAGCAAGGAACCTAATAAAAAGCAGAAAGCTCGCCCAAGCTTGGATAACATTCCAACAGAAAAAAGGTATTTCAGAGAGAGAGAGAGTGCCTTTTAGTCTTCTCTTTATCATTCCTTTTCATGTGGCTGGACTTTGTTCTTTTTCCTCCAAAAGGTATAATAGATAATCCTCTTTCCTTGAAACACACTTGCCTGAGAGTAGACTCTTCTTCCTTCTCTTTTGTGTGCTTTTGTGTGTGTGTGTGTGTGTCTTGTCAAATAACTCACACACCATTTTGTCCCTACGGGCACTTGAATCATCACCCTCCACTTTTAGAGATAAGAGGAGATACCACTGGACTACAACCCTTGGTGTATTGGAAGTAGATTTTCCACTCCTTCATGTTATTTTTCTTTGCTCAAAGCTCCTCAAACTTAAAAATTTTAAATTGCAAATATGAAGTTAAAGAGGAAATTATTATTACATGGAATAGATATCAAAATCTGAGATACAAAGATATTTACAAGAAAGCAGATTTGTCAACTAAGACAAGTCTACAAAACTACTAAGCACATTTCTCATTATTTGAAAAACTAATTAGCGTTAATTATATCTGGTACAAGTCTCATATGAATAGTCCTACTCTTTTTTCCTCTCTTGTTACTGAATTTAGAATGATGGAACAATGCCATATACGTTTTCTGCCATTAATGTTGTTGCGAACATCCGGTCCACTTCAACTTCTACATCTGTTCTCTTTGCGAATCGGCCCTTGATCCGGGGTCTGGTTTCTGCATAGGCTTTCCTTGAGGCATACCTGATTGTCTTCTCAAACTTTCTTGTCTTTTTTTTCTCTCTGTACCTTAGAACTCTGGCCTCCCTGTCCATTGGAGCAATTTGAGTGGGCATTTGAATGGGTGAACTTGAGAAAAGGTCAATTGTCCCTTTGGGAAGTCTTGAGTGCAAGATCGAGATGTCACTCATTGTAGATTCTGGTACAACGCCAACGTCCATGGATGAAATGGAGACCTGATCACACAATGACAAAGACCAATGGTCATTTTACTAGCACCACAATTTTATGTTATCATGTTTACATCAATTGCAAAATTCAGGAATCATAGAAATGTTTGAGAAACTACTTATGACATATGGCATGCTAGCAATATCTTTGGATTATATGTTTATATGCAAAAATCTTTAAAATGAGAGGAAGAAGCTGAATCTAAATAAATTCTCATCTTGAATGTTCCCCAGCTAACTCTTTACTCTCTTTATTGAGAGTAGGATCATGAAGAGAATAATTTTACATTTACACTGATGATTTTGAAACAGGGAACAAATATCTGACAAATGCTTTACATTTTATTTTTTTATTTTTTGCAGTGAAATGAAGGAAGCCGATGGAAATATGGGAACTTTTAAACACCATTCCAACCCCATACTTGTAAATTCCAGGTTCATTTTCCTTTTCCCCTGTTTCCTTGAACAACCATTTTGATCATTCTCATCAACTTCTACAAGGCCTATCTTTTAATTTTGTAAAATTTGAATATGAAATGGAATACTTAAAACTTTATGTGGGTGGGATTTCTATGAACCCTATAAAATATATATATCAAAAAAAAAAAATTTAATTTTATTATTAGCACTGATAGTTCATCATTTACTAAAATATTGCTCTGGCTATTAATTTTTTTTTTTAGCACCCAAGGCTTTGTTTGGTTCATGAATTTGATGAAAAAAGGTAAGGGGGAAAGGAAAAAGTGATTTGGCCTGTGTAAAGTTTGAACTTACAGATTTTTCGAGAATGGTTGGGAACCTAGAAAAAAAGGGGAAAATGACGTGTAAATTTTAAAACTTATCCTTTTCCTTTTCCCTTGCACTGGTTTTTCATGGTAGCCAAACAAGAAAAATGATTTCCTTTTCGTTGTACTTTCCTTTTCACTAATATTTTTTTTCCTAGTTCCTTTCACTAAATTTACTAACCAAATGGAGCCTAACTTAAAAAAGGAAGAGAAAAGATAAAGATGAATTAATGAAGTGAAGAGGATGAAGAAATATCATAATTTGCCCCAGATCCACTCCTCCCCAAAACAACACATACATACAGATAAATTTACTGAAGTAATTGGTAAAGTGCACATCTAAGAGCTGAATTGAAGTAATTGAACTTAGGCACAAAACTAGATTATCAACAAAACACCCACCAAAAGCTGATTTTGGAGCTAGATCTCATTATATATATGAAAAAAAAGCAGCAGCAGATTTTAAGTTGTAGAAAATTGAATCCTTACCAGAACATGGCATATACTAGCACTTAGCATGATTTTTCATAGAAAATAAAATTATTACAAGAACATGACATATGCTAGCACTTAGCATGATTTATGAATTAAGAAAACCCATCAACAAGACTTCCAAGAAAGCATAGCAAACATATTATCTGCTAGTGTATGGTGAGGAGAAACTTACACGGTGACTAATTGAAACAGGATAACCATAGCCAGTTTTCGGGGTCTCGCACTCCATCCCCAACTGGAAAATCTGTTGTTGCTGCTGCAGCAGCTGATCCTTTAATGCTCCAGATTGAACTGGCACAACACTATCACCTCCATAGCTCTTGTGAGGAACACTGTACTGTTGTTGCTGATTATTGTACTGGTTAGTGAACTGAGTTTCTTGAAATGAATTGTAATCACCAATGTCTAAATACTCATCAACCACCTCCCCACCAAACAAAAACCCATTATTGTTATGGTTGCTATTGTTGCTCTTAACAGGATTGAGCAACAGCCATGAAGCTGCTTCTTCATCTTCATCTTCTTCATCTATGGTTTGTTCGGCATCTGGGGCCAAGAACCCATCCTCGGTGTCAGCCACTGACCGACCTGGGTCGGTGGCGGGAGGGCCATAGAGTGAGCCGGGGATGGGCATAATTGGAACACGGTGGTGGCGGCGTGCCAATGGGTTGGCGGAGTGTATGTCCGCGTCGCAAGTAGTGCAGAGCGATGCGGCGTCGGCCTTGCACAGGAAGGCTGCCGGGGCGCGCTCACATGCCTCACACACCCACACGCGCTCGTGGCGCGATGCCACCCGGTTAGCAGCGTGGATACGGGCGTCGCAGCCGGTGCACAGGTATGCTGAGTCGGCACGGCAGTACACCGTACACGCGGCCGAGCGGCACGTGTCACACACACGCGCCCAATTGTTGTTGTTACCACCATCTACACCCCCTGTGCTCTCATCTTTAAACATTTCTCTCTTTCTTTTTACTTTCTAGTTTGTCTCTCTATATATGGTTTTTGCTTTGTCTGCTCACAATAGGGAAGAGGATAGTGAGGGTGGGAGGTAACACGGTAGGCAACAAGTAGGGGGTGGAAGAGAATCTAGTGTGGTTACACGTGTCCAAGAACTAGTGGGTGCAAAAAGTTGTTATATTATCTTGTGGTTGGCTGATTTTGTTGTGGGACCGGGTGGGGTCGGGATTGGAGGTTCCTGAGGGCCCAGCTACTTTGGCTTTTGGAATCGATTAAAGTTTGAGAGTGAAAGTTTTTTCTACGCGTAGTCGAGTACACTGATGGCATCAAACTCGCTATTGGGTGAGTACCACTTGGCAATACAGTTGGATGCTGAGTCAGATAGATAAACTCTAGATGAGTGAAAAGATTCTGTATATACCTCACGTGTCAGACATGGCCCAAAAAGTTTTGCTGCTTTGTGAGCTGTGTTTTTTTAGTGTATACGTGGAAGACTTTTTCGCTTTTGGCTGAATACCCTGAAGCAACCCGAACCCAAAGTTGGGCCCGGTCGGAACCATTGGCCTGTAACCCGGCCCAAGATGGAGTGGACTTTGCCTTGAAAGAATTCTCGGTGGCCCGACCCATTTAGTTGACTGGTCAACGTCCGATGGATTCAGTGGCCTGATCTTCAAAATCTAGGGCTGAGAGTAATAGTCTTTCTGCACATGTTTTTAATTACATAGTAAAGATGTATTTGCTTTTCATTTAACTTAAAATCTCTGTAGGTCTAAAAAAGTAAGGGGATCGACTTAATTTATGTCCAGAATGACACCTCAGCATCGATTTGGATGCTGACTTGTCTTTTAACTTCATTTGTGCCAAGAATTCGAATTTCGTGGAAGCAGCTGAATCGTTCACCATATGAAATAAATAAATAAAAATGAAAATATAAAAAGGAGAAAAAACTGGCTTGAAAAAATACATATGGCCAATAAAGTGACACCGCATAGAAGAAGAGTCTAGATTAGAAGGATCTACCTCCACCACAAGTTTTGGGCCCATCTGGGCTTGTAGGTAGGGTCCAAACGGAGAAAGTATATGCACCACTAGTTGATGGTCTCCAACTCGATCAATAAATGCTTCGCAAATAATTTGTTTTGCCTTGTCTTAATCACCTATTGTAGGAGATCACATGAAAACATAAATTCCCACCAATCACCACATTTATTCCCAACACTCAAACTCTTGAATCTGGTCACTTGGATGATTAATTTAATATGGAAAATGAAATTTTAAAATATACAAATCAACTATAACTTGTCATTCCTTACATAGAAGGCTTTTTTATATTTTTTTAGTATAAAAACACTAAGTTAAGATCATTAATAAACAAAAATTATTTCATAACCCTAAACGCATGCAAGCAGATTATTATTATTATTATTATTATACATTAAATCTTATATAAGCCTCAACTTAGGCACCAATTTACCCCTATTGGAAACTCAAACCCTCATCACCACCTTTGGAAGGTACATGAGATATTATTAGGCTACAGCCTTTGGTGGTATTAAAACAAAATCTAATTTAGACATATATATATATATATATAATGGACAAAAAAATTCTAAAGTAAAATAATGATAAGAATAATAATAAGAAAATAAGGGTTATGCTCATTGATATCAAAAAGTGAAGCTTAAAGGATTTCAATTGAGATTATTTATGAGGTCTGTGGGATCACATGTTAAATCATTTTAATATAGATTTTTTTCTATATATATATATTTCAACTGTTCATAGTGTCCCATTAAATTAGCTTTTCCAAAATTTTGAAGTGGCTAATAATTTTTTTGATAAGTATTTTTTTTAGTATTTTTAATTTTAGCTCATTTAGAGCCCAATTAAAGGTTTTCGAAAATTGCATGCCCACTTGTTCTAAACACAGCTCCACCGGTGAACCCACACTTATTTTTGTATCTATAGTTGTTACTTAAATGTTTTTGTTTCCATTTTTTATTTTTTTTTCAGTCAACTCGCAACTTTGCAATTGAAAAAGCTGTTTCCGCTACAAATCAAATCATGACCTTAAATCACAATGGAGCAACTGGACCGAACTTTTTTTTTTTTTTGTATCTCATGCATAATTATAGTTAACTGCTTGGCAGAACGCCCATTAGTTTTTGAACTATTGGACATTGTATCAATGAGACATCCCTACACCCACAGGCCCAATAACTAAGCCCAACTAGCTTAAGCAGTTGCAAATTTGGAATGTTAAAAACCATTTTTTAATTTGAAACTATTGAAGTAATTGGGTTCGGAACTAGACTAGAATCTATCAAGCTTGTAAATGAAGTTGTCTGGGGAAAATGGCCCACTAGGTCCAGGAAATTGGCAATTTAGAAATACTAAAACAAACATTTGAAGATTCTGAGATCTAACAATAACCAAACATGCACTACTTTGCATTCAACCTACATACCATCTTACTTTTGTGCAAGTTTTTGGCTCCGTTATATGTACCATAATTTCTGTGAATTTCGACAATGTTGTCTTGTTCAATTGTTCTTTTTGTTTTTTAGTTTAATTTGTAGTGGCTTATATAAAATATCAAATAATGAATGCGAGAACTGACTTGTTTAGGTTGCTGGAGCAATTCAGGAAGACTTAGAATGTTTATGGAAGCATCACACCAACTTTGACATCCACATTAATTCGGAGGATGTTTTTGAAGAATATACTTCCAAATTAATGCAACTTATATCCAAATGTTGGTCTAGTCAGTACTCTATGCATGAAACTCACACACCCACGTGTCCTATGGGGACTTGAACCCTCGTCCTCCCACTTTGGAGGGTAGAGGAGGTATCATTAGGCTACACCGGCCTTTGGTGGTTTTGCCATATTTTCATTCCTAGTGTCGACGGAGCAAGAGGCTTGTTCTGCATTACAGTCTTACAGTTTCTCAGAAATTCAGATTGCAGAAAGTTACAAGAAATGGATAGTTTTTTTAATTTATTTCTTGAAATCATATAGATACAACTAAAAGATGAATGTCAATGGTTTGTCTTTTGAGTAAGATCTCTCAAATGCTGTCAGATTACACGAAAGCATGCATTTAGGGTTTTAGCGATAAGAATACCCTTTAGGTTCCTCCTCCAGCCTACTTGAAATTGTGAAAATTACTAAAGGAGCTGAGAGTCTACTGATGAAGTGAATGCATCACAACTATTACAAAAAGGCATAAACATTCCAATTTCTCTTGACACAAGCTATTGTAGTTTTAGGTTTTGAAGCAGTCCTGTTGCATATTTCTGGAGATTCGCTATTAACTATTATGCAAGGAACATTGAAGGTATTTTTCTGTGTTTTGCTTTGTAATCTATTTACGGTAGATATATTATTTTTCTTTTTTCTTTTTTCTTTTTTATTACAGTTGATATTTTGAATGTGAACTTGAAGATCATTGTTATGGAGATTTCCTATTGCCTATTCTTATTTTTAGCAAAGAGTATTGACAATATTCATCTGATTTTTTCATGGTTATGTATGTTTGTTTACATGTTATAAAGATGAGATGTTCTATTAGACTTGATAAGAATCTTCCAGTCTAGTCTTAAAGCTACTAGTTCAGATCATACTATGCTTGAACAATGCAGTTAAGACATAAACAGCACAAAAAAAAAAAAAAAAATCATCATAACTTCTCAAATATCTCTACAAGTCTCTCCTTATCCCAAAATAAAAAATAAAAATAAAGATACAAACAAAACCCCATTAAGGAACATTATCCTTACAAGCTTAGGGTTGACATACCACAAAAATAATTATTCACTCAAAATGGAAGACAGAATCTAAGGAACTCTCAATCTCAACTGTGTCAGTTCCTCAAACTATATACTGTACAGTGAGGCAACAAAATCAAAGCCCTTTAGAGCTCTGATATACTACTACTGTATTCAATTGGGGGACAGCTCTAGCTACAACTTTCTCCTTATAAAATTCAAATTTATATTAATTATGAAAAAGAATATAAGTAATTACCTTGGGCCAGAGAGCTCTATGGCTTGTACAAGTAAGGAAGAGTCATTGGTAAGGTCAGAGAATCGCTCTGATGAGGAGAAATCGTGTTGCTTGTACTTTGGTGCTTCGACCCTCTGAGAAGCTTCCCATCTCTCTGCTAGCCCATCACCTTCAAGCATTCGAACCACTTCAGACATCTTTGGTCTGTTTCCCGGAATATATTGAGTGCAAAGGAGAGCAACTTGAACCATTTCCTCTAGTTCAATTCGATCATAGCAGTTTTTCAAGTCCTTATCAACAAGCAAATCGAGCTTTTTTTCTTGATGAATTTTTCTCACCTGCGATAATTCTCAAGAGTCACATATGTAAGCTGAGTTTGAGCATGGATTAGACTAACGACAATGGAAAGAAGTTATTTTAGAAGCAATTAAGATCCTCACAGAAAGTATTCATACCCAATCAAGCATGGGTCCTTTCTGATTAGCTGCCTTCCCAAAATCTAGAGCTCTCTGTCCTGTGATCAATTCAAGGAGAAGAATCCCGAAACCAAATGCATCTGTTTTCTCAGAGGACTGACCAGTGGAGAGATATTCAGGAGCTATATGCCCCACAGTGCCTCTCACAGCTGTTGTCACATGTGAATCCTGATGATCCAAAAGCTTCGCCAACCCAAAATCTGCTACCACTGCCTCACAATACTCATCAAGCAATATATTTGCAGCCTTCACATCCCTATGAATTATCTTCTGGTCACATTGCTCATGGAGGTGTAATAATCCTCTTGCAGCTCCCAAGGCAATTCTCTTCCTAGTGATCCAATCCAATACCGGTTTTGCTGTAAAAGATAGGAGGAGGGTTAATCTACTTGCCTAGTATCAATATTCTAGGACCAATTTATTGATATTGTACATATATTTTTGTGTGTTAACTGTGTGTATGTATCTTTGTATGTTTAGATATATAATACCTTTGAGACGAGAAGCAACACTGCCATTTGACATGTACGGGTAAACTAGAAGTCTGTGTGTGGCAGTCATGCAAAAGCCATATAGCCTGATGAGGTTGCGGTGCACTGCTAGGCTGATTATCTCTACTTCTGTCTGGAATTGTCTCTCCCCAATGGCACTCCCATCTTTGAGCATTTTTACAGCAATAGCAGTACCATCTTGCAGATAACCTTTATAGACATTTCCAAAACCGCCTTTTCCAAGTATGTTCTTGCTTCTGAAATTGTCTGTTGCAATCTGAAGTTCCCTGAATTGGAACCTTATCAAGTTTCCTGGTGAAACCTCCTCATGACATCGATCTAAAATTTCATAAAGACTTGTATTAGCTACTCATTGGAAATACATCTAGTGCTCTAATTAGCCAAGTTTTTGCAATCTCCTACAGACCTTTAACATCGAAGAATATCTGCTGATTGTTTTTATGCCTCCGCCATAATAGCAGGCTGTATCCAAGGACAAGCAAGCAGATGCACCCTAGGGCTGACCCCAACGCAAGAGCGAGTTTGTGAACTTTTGATCTTCCCAAGGGCAGAGTGGCTTTAGCGGCACAGGAATCAGGTCAGGATAAAGAAACAATCATGAACTATTCAGAAAAGGAAACATAAATTTATGGACAGAAGCTATGGAAATGGTTATAGAGAGAGTTTTGGGGAAACGGAAAATTTGGAATTTCGTACATTGTGAAGTGTTCAAGGTCATTGACATGGGCATCAGTGCCGTTCCATGACAACCTTGCTCAGACCCTGTCGCGCAGATCAGAGGGTTTCCAACAATGCTGCAATCATGGAAGAAAATAAAAGAGAACCATGAAAGTTATTGTCATACACTATTCAAAGGGGGAGAGAGAGAGAGAGAGAGGACATGAAAAAGGAGCTTACTTGATTGTTTGAGATGGAAATTTAGGTACAGGGCCACTAAAATTATTGTAAGACAAGTCCCTGGAATGAAGAAACACAGAAAATGAGAAAAACATTCTTCTGATATGGTTTTCATATCGGAGTTAGTGTGTGTATGGCTAATACGACAAGTTACAGAAAATTACAGAAAGGTAAGCTGGGTAATGTTGGCTAACGACATTGGAATCGCTCCAGAGAGACTGTTATTATTGAGCCTCCTAAATCAGAATTCAATAAATTCAAGTGAGTCTTGCTTGAAACATGTCTAAAATGGTAATATGAATATATAGCTCTATAACTACTATCTATGTAAAAAAATTCATTCTTACATGTACTTGAGGCTTTTCAGGTGACCTAAAGAAGAGGGAATTTCACCGGTAAGCAAGTTATTAGAAAAATCAAGTGTGTGAAGCTTTGAGAGCCTTTCAAGCCCTGCTGGAAGTGATCCTTTAATGTTGTTGCTTTGTAAGAGCCTGCACAACACATCTTTCAATAAAAACCAGTTACAAGAAAAAGAAATATTTACATTCAGATATTACAAAGAAGCAGCAAAGTGTGTGTGTGTGTGTGTGTGTGTGTGTGTGTGTTACTCACACAATCTGCAGATTTGTTAAGTTGCCGATGCTTGGAGAAATAGTGCCAGATAAATTTTGGCTAGGAGTACCCCTGCAGCCAGACAATATATTAACAAATTCAAAACATCATCATTAATTTGTTATGATTTTTTGTACTCTCATGATAAATTAAATATCTGGTTGTCCAGACTCTCAGGAGAACAAGTGACCATAGTTCTTGATAATTGGTGTATTGAAATCAAGATTGGTTTTATTTGATGAAAGACTTACAGGCCGATAACCAGACTCTCAGGAGAACAAGTGACCATAGTCCAGCTACATGGATCAACAGCATCACCATCCCAATTATCAAGAACTCCGCGAGGATCCTCCAAAGAAGCTTTTATATCCATTAAAGCTTGCACTGAAATAAAAATCCCAATATGAATATATATATATATATATTTCTAGTACTTAATTGCTGAAGAGCACCCCTTGTAGCAGATTACACAAACTTATAATTGCGTGTGTGTGTGTGTGTGTGTGTTTTACCTTCAAAGTTTACGCCATTGGGAGACAGAAAACCATTTGCAGAAGTCCAAAACCAGAAAAATGTCGTCACAAACCAGAATGCAACTTCTCTTATTCTCATTGCCATTGAATTGAAATTGACAACCACCAAATTCCCACTGCTTATTCAAAGCTTGTTTGAAGAACAGCCTTCAAATATCAGAAGCCAACTGTAGTTTCCATGGCAGAAATTCATTTCTCTTCTCTAAATTCTTCTGTCAAACCCAAGAAAAGTAGTGTCGTAAAGAGAACGAACATACCTGACACAGTCATGAGCTTGTGAAGAAATGAATATATTATTATATAGTCCTCAACTTTGAAACAAAACCAGCCAAATATAGGTAAAATTCAAAAGTGAAGGGCACAGAAGGAAATTCCATGGTGTGTCAATCATGCATTTGCCTAGAAAGTATAAAGGCTGTATGTGATATTTTGGTATTCTTCTACTTCAATAATTCAAATTCAAGGAATTTTTTTACTTCTACACCCAATATATTTGCATTTACAGTTCCTCCCTGTCAAGTATGACGATGAATCAGCTAAGTAAGATGAAGAATAACAATATTTTGCGATACATGGTCGCATATAATAAGACCCGAAATTCTTTATAAATTATAATTTAATTTTCTAGGATTAAACAAGTTTTAAAAACAAATACTAATTAAAGATTGTGACCAATGATATCTCATCTACCTTTCAAAGAAGGAGTTCATGTGAGATCCTGTAAAAATAAATGATTGCGAACAAGAGGATCCTATATTTATTAAAAAATAAAATGTGAGTCCGACTGAAATGACCAGAGAACTTTTGGCCTCCTTGTTAAACAATCATTTTTATAAATAATTATATATATATATATATATATATATATATATATATATACATCCAGAGAGACACATACAGTGGGTACGGAAGTGGGGTTTTGTTAGGGACAATGAGGAAATCCAACATTCGAGTTTGGGAGTTTGGGAATTCATTAAAGTCCTAAAAAACTGTATCCAATGAAGTCCAAAAACAAGAAGACGAAAAATAAAAGGCTTGAGATTGAATCCAAATGATGATGGATTTCGTCACTCAACCGAGGATCTTTGTTGGCTATTATAATTATTACTCCAATTATAGAATAACATAGGGAACCACACATGCACAGTGCATTCTTTACACACTTTTGTTGATGATTTACATCATTCGGATTATATAATTCTAATTTCATATTTTTAGTTTTGTAATTGAGCGAACCCATATTATTATTTCCAAAATACACATTATAATTGTTGCATTACAATAAAAAGTTTCAAAATTATTGTGTTACTATTTGATTCAGTTATTTTAGTGTGAGAATTATATTTTCATGTGTGGGTCGTATTACAACGAGTAAGTGGGGTTGCTTTATTGATTCCACAATCCACTAATCTGTTTTAACACTCGCACTCTTCTCTCTACCTTTCACCGGATGATGTAAAGCATGGGCATGGCCAATATATGAGAAGCAAAAGAAAGAAAATTGACCAAACGATGGAAAAGAAACAGAATCCATTAATATCGGAAAATGACAAAAATGTCCAGAATTAAGGCGTTGATAGATTGAAAACAACCGGACGTAATTGTCCATTTCTTCTATGTTCTCCATCATATATCACTACAACACAAAAAAGAGGCCAACACATAAGTGGGGGTACTAGGGACCATGAACCTGTTTATCCAAGACACATAGCAACCCATTGTCTTCAATTGCATGTCTCTTCTCTAAAAACCAGAGTGTGACAGTCTTCTTTAACCATGTAAGTTGGACTGTCACTAAAAATGTGACAGCTTTACAGAAATCTCGTAACCTTATGAATCCCAAGGGTAGAAGTGGAACTGTTGGTCGGTTTTGCTTCAATTATTTCCCTTCAAGGACAACCTCATATAGGGTTTTCCTTGGATTCAATTTGGAGCATGACATTGGCATTAGGATGAAAATAGGAGGAATAATTAAATGTGTCAAAGTTATTTAGCTTTTTGAGTGCGTGATAACTTGTGACTGATGGAAACCATATGGTCCCGAACCATCAAATATTTTCTTCAAAAATAAATATATATATTTTCCCTTTGTAACAGGGTAAAGAATGATGAAATGCATACTGCACAGTTGATATGTTTACAAAATAGTGCATCTGGATGAACCTATGATTTAGATTCCAAATGCCGACAGCATAACGGAGTGAAATTTTGATAAATGAGACAGGATTAGTAAAAAATTGCTTCGGCAATGAAATGCTGGTGAGAAATGAGGAAAATAAATACTGAATTATGATTCTTCAAACAAATTTGAGCAACTTAGAGAGAGAGAGAGAGGTGGGGTGGTGGGGTGTTTGCTTTGGCTGTGCACTCGAAAATAATACATCAAAAAATAGTTCCAAGCTAAGTTTAGTCACACCAGGACCCCATTTTTGTTTCTTTGTATCACACACAACTCTGGGGACCTCCCCTTCTTTGTATTCATTACAAAGTGCTTCCAACATCCATTACCATTGTCTTTACATATTTATGTAACTTCCTTTTTTAAACTTTTGGTGGCTCTACAATTTAAGGGGCCTCTTCATCCTCAATTACTACTAAACATGTGAATCAGGCCACCCTTTGGTATGTGAAGAACGCTGATGATCACCAAAGGGGCCGTTGTTGCCTAGTGTTACTTCCTCACCTTCCAAAGTAACAGGTCGAGGTTTCAAGTCTTCTTAGGGGCAAGCGGGTGTATGATTATTGCAGCAATATAGCAGAAGTGTTACAAACACCTTAATAATCTCTGCACATTCTTCATTATAGCAATAATAATGTTGTGGTAGATGGGCAAGTCCTTTTTTAAGGGACCATTGGTATCTTTATGTGTAGCCCTAAACAGAGTGCTGCTTGTCCTACTATGACGTTTGAATTAAACCCTCTTTACAAAAGCAAGATTTAAATATCTTGCACTAAAGAAATGTCATTGATCAATGTTTTTCAGCCATGCCTTTTAGGCTCAGAAAAATAGGTAGGGAAAAAAATTACAATTTGAGACACTCAATGACATGAAAGTTAACTAAAAAGCTCACTTGCTGAAACACAAATATGGTACCAACATGGAATGGAGTGTGTGTGTGTCCGGGGACATAGTGGCCTACCTTTACCCTTGTAATGGATTATATGTTTTAACAGTCTGAAAAAGACATCAAAGACCTAGTAGTTTTAAACTTGTAAATCTGTATACCTTGGCACCAACACGCGAGTAGAATTAAAAGATTTTGTTCCTGAAATACAATAGAATTACTTAAATGAAGTTTCTACATCTTCTTATCAACAAACCCAATAATATACCAGAGAGAGAGCTCTGACATGATATTTGTGGTGGAGAAAAAGTTTAGAGGGGTTGTGATTTTACCTATTGTTAGCCCCCCCTTCTGCAATCGAATTCTGCCATAACAGAGGCCATGCACCCCCCGTTGTAATAGCTACTAATCATCACAACTTGATGGCATTTTTGTCATATTGTCTGTTGGAATATCAGTTGTCCATTGTTTCTTACCTACATTCCAAAACATGTCAGCTAGAGTGATTGAAATTTTGAAATAGAAGGCTTCAAGTGAGATTTTCACAATTTATATTAAGAGAAGAGAGGAGGGCGTAAACAAACTTGAGTGGGTCGCTAGTTCAGTCACACTCGTTGCGTTTTGCTCATCGAAAAGTCTCATTCGATTCACTAAGCTACCATAATGGAACTGCAGCACCCCAACCCAATACCCCTAAAAAGCTGATGCAATTAATTTCATGTAGACACCAAGGCAATAGTGACAACAAGGGAAATAACAAAAAACCCATGGGAAGGACTCAAGGTAAAGTCATTTTCTATATTCATCTTATTTCGAGACACACAAATGTGGGTGTGTAGATGTGTGGACACCGGCATGTGCACCTGCAGTCAATTAATGATGTCTGAAATTCATACAAGCCAAGGCAACACCAAGTATTGGCCAAATGCAAACATTATAATCTATCTCCACGCATACCTGCTTTCAGAATTTCTATAGTGCCATGTTTAGGGCCTCTGCTTTTTGAACATGCAATATAACCCTACCCCATAGAAATGAGAAAGATTGTGTTAAGTTGATATCTGGAAATAAAGCCTTTCTAACCGAATGACAAAGAATTTTAACGAATTTTGGTCTTTCACTAAGGTGTTTAGATAAAGATTGCAGCATTAAATGGAGCTTAAAGTCAAAAAGACAAAGATTATAGCATTAAATGGAGCTCAAAGTTAAAAACACAAAGACTATAGCATTAAATGGATCTCGAAGTCAAAATGAATTTGATGCTTTGTTGAGTTGCAGTGATGCAAGCATAATGCATGCTCCGAGGTAAGAAGTGAAAAAGATATCTCCCTCAAAAGGCAATCTACTCAAACCATGCACTAGTTAACCACTCTAAAAGGTATTGTAAATACTGGAGTCTCGCGACTCTCGTCCACAATGTAATGCATAAATAAAGCAATAGCAATGGTACATAAGCTAGATTTTCATCATCAAAATACAAAGCATGACTGTTTGATTTTACCATTTTAGAGCAGATGATTCAGATTAAAATGGCACAATTAAGACAATAATTTCTTCAACTTGTCTTGCTCCTTAGGCAAGTTCATTTTTGGTTATTTGGTGAACGAACAAAAAGAGTGTCCGTTATTCCACACATCAACGCAATATGCTGAAGAAATTACGTCAACCACAACATTGGTCCAAATTAAAAGGCCTAATGCATTACCAGTAATCTGGTAGCTTAATTAATGTAGATGTCCATGTATAATTTATGCATCCGTGTTCCTGGTAAGGATATTTGCAGCCATGTTGCAAAACATAGCATATTAACTTCGATGAGGAACCATTAACCAATGAGTTTGACAGCAAGCTAACTTCCTACAGCCATATGATTGATTAATTTATACAGATCATAGAGGCTTGCAAAGCATATTAACTTACAAAGATGAGGAACCATTAACCATTGAGTTTGACAAGCTAACTTCCTCCAGCCATATGATTCCTTAATTTATACAAATCATAGAAACTAAAATGTGCATGCATGACTTGACTCAGAAAAGATGAATTGCATTATCAGATAGAAAGTTTATTCCAGCCACAAAATTTGCAGCCATGGGAAGTTTTCAATGCCAAGGAAGGCACAAAAAAATGAAATGGATGAAGGCTGCTTCATTTAGAATCTTCAATGTTGCCTGTGATTATGATGGCCAAAAACAAATTACTAAAGCAGGAATCTAACCTTTAACGGTATATTTTCCAACACCATCGTGTTTAACAGAAGAATCCAGAACAAAGAGCAGTTGACATGTCCACTATTGCCTGGAATTAGAACACTGATTCAAGCAAGGGAATTTGGTAAATCTCAGATCTGGACCATAATGAAGGGAGGAATAATAGGTTTTTTTTATCAGATGGAGGAATAATAGGTTTTTTTTATCAGATGGAGGAATAAGAGGTTGCCAATATCAGATTTATCATTGAGGAATATGAATTAATTCATCCACAGTAAAACATTTACACATCTTTCCTTTAAACAAGTGATACTGGTAAAGATATTAAGATGCACCATCTGCGACTTTATAGTAGTATAAATCAACAACAAACAGATTGTATTGCTGGTAAGTACGTAATTAAGTATTAGAAATTAGATATTACAGAACCTATTGAAGTTGAAAACAATACAATAGTAGCCCAATCTAGTATTTCAATTACACAATTCGTAAAGTATTATAAGAAAAAATAAATGGAATAAGTTTCCCAACTATAAGAAAAAAAAAAGAAACACAACTTTAAATATATGATAAGTGAAAGAAAAAACAGAAGGTTGCAGGAAGTGGCTCACTTTTTAGGAGCCTTATTAAAATTGGAAATTTGGAATCGATTAGTACCTTCATTCATGTCATAAACACATAATGATTATCTGAAACAAGATAACAGTGCATTCCTACTGAAGCAGATAAAACAAAAAACTATTATCTACCTCTTTTTCTCTTTGTGATCAGTGACTGATAATAAAAATATAAAAATATAAAGCCATTGAACAAAAAAATATATCTAAGATACAAAGGAAACAATGACAAAGATGGGAACTGATAAATTATTTCCCCACATCGTTGAACAACATATTTAAACAAACAATCAAGGCTCAAAAGCATGTGAATAGTGAAACTTTCTGGCCGCAAGAAAGAGAGCGAGTTCAACAATCCAGTGAACATTCCGTTGCAGGCATTGCTTAAACAGAACAATATTATATAATAGCTAATATCCCAAATATTTTGAAGCTATAACCAATCAAATTAAGAAGCGAAAACAAACTCAAATGCAGATATTTACAACAGAAAGTAGAAAATAAATTCATATACTTAACCTTAGAAACAGTTCCCTCATCATCACTCACTTCAGAAGCAGCAGGCAACCATAGCATTCATCTTTATAATAAAAATTAGTCCAGCTCCTTATAATTAATAATAGGTAGATCCATACCGTAAAGTCTATAAAATGTGACCAACTGATCTTGACCCAACGGAGCAGTAACACATCATCAAACCATACTTCCAACCTCACTCCCTGATGATGAATTACAATAAAATAAACATAAAACAGTAATCAACTAGAATATTATCACAATGCATGCCAATATACTTCGTAGAAGCACTCATGCAACTTTTTAGATGGATCTTTGCAGTTTCTTTATGAAAGATGTACCAGAAAACACAATGCTTCTCTAAATAACAAGTAACATAAATCAACTTCTTCCAAAAAGAAAAAAGTGGTCAACTTACATGCTTTATAAAGGATTCACTAAAAACACTGATTTCCAAGCAAATTGCATGGTAACCGATCTCATAAATAAAATTTTCATATCTTCCTATAATTTGGTTTCTTTAAACCATCATAGAACCTTTCAAGCTATGAAGACTATACTTTGTCATTATAGAAAGGCTTAAAAACACAAGAATGACTCTTAAGTCTTATTAGTTTGAAATACGATGGAACAAACTAAATAATCTGACTTCTAAAGAGTATTTGTACTGGACCCAGCAATTGTACAACCAACGCCCCTGATTATCCCCGAAAACCTTTCAAACTCAGCCACTCATGCTATTTCAAAAGTTTGTACCCTTTTTTGTTGGGGTTGGGGGAGGGATTATTCTTCTTTAGAGGACATTGTGGACTTTTGGGGTTCTTTGAGTTCATAGATTATTTTTGTGTATATCTCGGGACGCGTTCCCCTTTTGAACGCTTTCTAATACATTTTACTTATCAAAAAAAAAAATAATAATGTCACTCACATGACAACCCAAAAATAAAGGAACCATGGAACAGTTATAAAAGCAATTATTAAAATTGAACTAAAGGCTAAAACATTCTTACTGAGACTAGAACTCATGGGGAAGAAAATAGATTTATGGATGGAATCAAATATGCAGTATTTACGGACAACAGTGTTCAGCTATTGGGGAGTCAGGATCAATTAGGACAGAAATAAAGCATTAGGTCAAACTCTTCTTAGTGTCAAGATAATATCTATGAACAGTCATCGAAACCTGGGAAAGGGTAGAAGAATGGGACTTCATGCTTGGAACATAATAATCACGCCTCACAGACAACTTCTCCGAAGGTGATGTGTTTGTGTCGTACCTCATGTCATGGACACTCTTGGACGTGTCTGACACTTCATGGCCCTGCTGTTCATAATTTAAAATTAATTTGTATTATTTCGTAAATTTGGTTGGCACATCTCAAACACTTGGTCAATATATTCCGGACACTCTGACTAACACTCTTAACACAAATGTTATATAAAAGAACATATGACAGTCCTATAAACAACATTATGAACATGTATCAAGTGTCCAACAACTATTTCTTTTATAAATATATATATATATATATATATATATATATATGATGTCATATTCATGTCATACCATGTAACTAACAAAAATATAATTATAATGACAAGTTAGGAGAGTAATAGCATTTATTATTATTATTATTTGTATCCATTAGTTTCATCTTCTAATTTATGCAACTTTAGCAACAAATAATAGATTAATCAAAATGCTATAATTGTCTTAGATGTATAAATGAAATTTTATATTTATATTAGCCTTGTCCACATTGTGTTTGTGACCTACCTATTTAAAATTTGATGTGTTGGTGTCCCGCGATACTTAGCTTGGAACAAGCCCAGTTGGGCAAGGCCTTCAATGAAAGCAGCGCACATAGCATGCTAACAGTAAAAGTAGCTGTAAGGAAGTTCCGAAGCTCTAGACAACTAGTGAACAATGAATACTATAGCAGATTTTGTCTTTCAATGACCTTAAACAAGCATTACCTGCATATTCTAAAGCTCAAGCGAATTGAAACTAAATCTGTAGTCTAGATGTTACCTTCAGCGAAAAATAATAACAACAATAACAATACAGATGAAGCCAACAGCCTATAATTCATTTAATCCTATGATATGTTTACTCATTCACCAATCTAGTGAGATGTTACAGGCAACTAAAAAAAAGAACATTGTTCAAAGAAAAAAAACAAGAGAAATTTTAAAAACCCCAAATTTTATTTGTTGAAATATAATATTAAATTTGATCCAACAACATCAAATTTAAAACAGGGAGACTGAAAAAAAATATATCATACCAAAATTTTCAAAGCTTGCATACTACTTCATCCTCGCAAAATACAATACAAGATACACCCAGCTAAATCCTAAGCAGCCACAGCAGTGACGGTAGCTGCTTCAGCAGATTTCATGGAAAAGAAAAGATTCAAAACATCAGCATTGTTTCGGATGTATCCCGGGCATCTAGAAAGGAGATCTTGTGCTTCATTTTTCCTTCCAGCCTTGAAATACGCTTCAAAGACATTGAGAAACACTGACGCAGACGGAAACCTCTCCGAAGTAATTGCTTTCAAGAACATCATAGCATCATCAGCAGTCCCCTTCTTTGAAAGGTATTTAATAAATGGATCTAAGAAAGGTGGGAACCCCTGATTTTTCATCAAGCCCAGAAGGTTCAAAGCTTCTTTAAAACCTCCATGAACCAGTAAATCGCTTATCAATACTTTGTATGTAGGATGCCAAGGTTTTAATTCGTTCTCAGTGACCAAATCAGAAAGAAGCTTGCACGCATCCACTGCTCTGTTCTTACGGCAATATGCATTAACCAACGGTTGGAGAGCATACCCAGCAGAGGCGGCCCCCTCCTTTTCAACCATCTTTTTGAGACAAGCAGAAGCATGATCAAGATCACCAGCAACACAGTTTCCTTCAACTAAAGACAACCACATCTTGTAATTTGGATTACACCCAGATGCTTCAATAGTATCCAAAAATTCACTTGCTCTGTCCTTTTCCCCATCACTACTAAGCCGGAAGGCAATTTTACTCTGCAAAGTAGCACCTGGTAAGAAACCAACTTCCTTCATTGCTTTCAAGATATTATTACATTCTCCAAACCTACCAACACTGATTAAGGATTTCAGAACTGCGTCAAGGGTCGAATTCTTCAACAGATTCCCAGAATTTGTAAAAGCCTTCACAACTTTCAGAAATAAGTCCATATCTAGCTCTTTATCGACCACAATTTTTCTCAAAAGAAAGGTGCAATCCTGCTCTGAAGGCTTATTTGCACCATTCAATGCAAACTCATACAAATCTACAGCATCCTTGATCATTTTCCTCTTAATAAAACGCCCCAAAACCTTAAGGTATGTTCCTCTCTCCATTTCATACCCAGCAACCTTCATTTCATCAACCACCCTCCAAAACTTATCAAGGCAGTCCTCCCTGCCCAACACACCCACCATAGCATTGTAAGTCTGCCCACCGTGTTCTAATAAATTACTCTCCTCAATCCACCGGAAAAATATCAAAGCCTTATTGGGTTCTGTCCCAATATTTTCCAAAACCATTGTGACCAAATTACTAGAAAATGGAATATTCAGTTCCCGTAACTGCTTTTCAACTTTATCACCCCACACTTCTTTCCGAATCACCTTAGAAACTCTGGAACACATTTTTTCGATCGAATTATCTATTGATCCGGATGCAAACAACTCTTTCAACTTCTCCAAATCACCAACCCGTCCTTCTTTCTCAAATTTCTCAGAAACCCTAACATGCGTGGCCCTTAACACTCCATAACCTTTCTTCTTCATAATTCCAACCAAATCCCAGAACTCCTTCACATACCCATTCACACCCAATATACCCAACATCAAATTATACGACTTCGAGCTCAATCGCTCGTTTTCTCTCTCAGAAATCCAATCAAAAAACCTCCGAGCAACATCATAAGACGTATCAGGATTTTTCAAGACCTTTAACACCAAGTCGTGGCTAATAACTACATTATTAGACTCTAATTCCATCTTAATATCATCATTACTTGTTTCGGGTTTAGAAAAAACTTCGATCACAGCACCGACTTGATCTGACCCTTTGTGTTCGATAGCGAGTTCAGATGAAGAGAAAAATCGAACACTAGTGATTTTAGGGCTTTGAGATTGAGAACCGAAAGATGGTGGGAACACGTGAGGTGCACGTGGGTGGAGGAGTGAAGAAAAGGAGCGAGAGTTGGGAGAAGAGTGTACCTGGAATTGAGAGCCGAATATGGAGATGGTGGAGTGAGAGCGAGAGTAACACCGGAGGAGAAGCAAACGCCAATGGTTTCTCATTTTCTAGGGTTAGGGTTAGGGTTTTTTGGAGGATGGAAATGGAGAGGTTTATCTATCAGTTTGGGATGGTTCCATTGGTTCGCAGACGGGGAAGAGAGAGGGGTTTCGAGTTTTGGATCGTTTTTTGGGCTCTGGATAGAGATGAAACAATGGTGGTTACACTAGGGTTCGACCGTTGGAGTCGCGCATGACATTGAAATGGGCTTGGTGGGCCTGTATGCCCTAATTAGGGCTCAAAATCTTGAAGAGAGATGAGTAGGAGCGTCAGCGGCATACAATGTTGTATTATTATATAAATATTAAATATGAAAACGTAAACAAACAATCCGCTGTAGCCAACTTAAATGTTGAAATCGTCTATCAGCTCTCTTACGAGAGCTCCGGGTTCAAGTCCCGGCAGCGGAAAAATCTTTTATCTTTTATTTTTTCAGAAAAACTTAATTAGAAAAGTCTTATAGTGAATATGGTTTAGGAAAGCAAGTCATACACAAAATTTTGATTTAATTAACCTGAAATTAAAAAAACATATAGCACAATCTAATAGCTAAATGCATCTCAAATTAATTGCTAATTTATTTAATCAAAATTTAGAAAAACAGATAGTGCAACGGATTCGAACTCAAGTTCGACCATTTTGATCCGATCATGTGTTAAAAAGAGGACAAATAGACACTATATTTCAATGATGATGAATTTTTTTGCATGCTGACCAGCCTAAACAAATTAACACAGACATTATTATATTACTTCCAAAACTTAAAAAAGGTGAAAAATGTTCAGAACGGCATTCCAAGAATTTTGAATGGTATTAGTAAATAGATAAATATGCCCAACTTATTAGCTTTGTGTAAGAAAATAATAAGTACTCCTTTTTAATATAAAAATTAGGGGTGACAAAATGGGTCAGAAACTATCAACTCGCTCATATCCGTCCGCTTTTTAATGGTTATGGGTGAACCATATTTAATTTGAGGGTCAAGATAGATTGGGTAATTTTTAACCACTTGATTTGAGGGTCAAAATGAGTTGAATATGGTCACATAATAAACATACAATGCACATCTATTCTATATTGCACTCAACTCATTTCTTTCTCTAAAATTCTCTCACTTACAATCATCTCTCTCTCTAAATTTGTCTCTCATCAATCCCCTCTTTCAAAATTTCTCTCTCTACAAATTTCTTCTAAAAAAAATAAATTTTAAAAATTAAAAATAATTTTAAATAACTAAAAGAAATAAAAAATTTAAAAATAAAAAAATTTAAAAGCTTTCGAAAAAAATAATTTAAAAAAATAATAATTAAAATTAAAAAAAATTTAAATAATAAAAAATTTTAAAAATAAATAAATAAATTTAAAAATAAATAAGAAAATTTAAAATTTAAAAAATTTTAAAACTAATTTTTAAAAAAAATAATTAAAAATAATAAAAAATTAAAAAAAAATTAAAATTAAAAAAAATTAAAATAATAAAAATTTTAAAAATGATAAATACCCCAGCTGTACTTTCACTTCCCACCATCTTTATCTTCCTTGTTTGACAAAGCTAAAAAATTGATATTGAATTTACAGAATTTTTAAGTTAATAATTTTAGAACAGATGGTAGAAAATTGAAGCAATATTCCAGCGTGTTTGTTCTTTCATAAAAACAAAATTCTCAAACGGAAAATTTTGAACCTGTTTGGGGGGGGGGGGGAAAAGAAAAAAAAATTAATAGAATAGAGCTTGCATGCATCCTTTAGTATAACTGCTTCATTCTGTCCAAACTGGTTTTGGAATCAATGTCTTACCTCTGCTGTTCTAGTGCTTTGTTTGCCTGTGGTTTTATTTGTGATCTCTTGGGTTAGTGGCCTATTTTTTTTTTTTTTTTCTTGTAAGCCACCTAAGGTATGCCCCGGTGGCCGGTACATATGTATAACTTCTCTTTTATTTTATTTTATTTTTAATTTTATTTCTATACATCTTTTTATTATTATTATTATTATTTTTTTTAATAAACACATGTACAATAATTAATTGATGGTTCATATTCATAGCTCCCATTTCTTCATTACTAAAATTTCATTATTAATAAAACTGTAAACATTTGGTAACTAATCCTACATTTTTAGTTGATGGTTTGTAATCATAACTCCTATCTCTCCATTACTAAATTTTTATTATTTTTCTAAAAATATAAAAAATAATTAAAAATAATAATTAATGGGTCAATGGGTCATAACGGGTTGACCCTGCCCATTTTCAACCAGTCCATTTTAACCCGTTCAGAACAGGTTGAATATGGATATTGACCCATATTGACCTGTCCATTTTCAACCCAACCCAAATCCGACCCAACTCGTCCATTTGTCACCCCTAATAAAAATGTTAGAGATCACATACTTGGTATCCATCAGTTCACATATTGATACAGTGATACGCTAAAAAGTGAGACCACCCAAAAATAAAAATAAACAAGTCTTAAATATATTTTTTTATGTCCAATAAATTTTTCTTTTGAATTTTTTTACTTTAAATCATAAATCATTGAATCTTCCATTTATTTATTCCCTTACTAAATAGAGATAAAATTTAGTAATTATAAATTTATTAAAGATTTGATATATAATCTATATATATATATATATATATATTTCTAATCTTTAGCTATACTTGATAATATTACATATTTTATGAATTTAAATATAATTAGTTTAATTTAAATTCAATTCAAAAACTCTGGTTTGATAGCATGGCAAAGAAATCACATGATAACGGTGGTGTAAAACTAAGTCAAAACTGTGACGGTTAATTGCCTGGTCCCAAGTATTGTCCTATATATAAAATGTTTAATCTACGAGTGAAAATAAATAAATAAAAAATAATCGTTTTGCTTAAGAATTCAATAATCCCGCTTTTGATGGTTCAAATAAAACTTAAGACTAATTGCACATTATCTATTAGGAAAATGATAAGGGGGCCGAAGAATAACCCCGAAAAGATGATCGAATCTGACATGGATTTCTTGCGCGTGAAAAGTAAATTGAATAAAAAAAATTATTTTAAAAGAAAACGAGGATGGTAATGGAGCCATGGACACGTAAGAAGGTGGGTATATGCAAATAGAAATATATATATACATACACACACAATACAATTACATATATGTTAATGTTGTTGTTGCTTTTTTTTTTTTTTTTTTTTTTTTTTTTGAAAAGTAAAGCAAACACACATACACTTTTTTGCCCACGCTGAGACTCGAACCCTTCCCCTTTTCTTTGAAGATGAGGAGGTTATACCATTGGGCCAAATGCCCTTTGGTCATATATGTTTTGGTAATAAATCATAAATATTTTTAAAAAAAAAAAATCCTACAAATTTCTCAATAAATTTAAGTATTACTCAATAATTTAATTTTAAGAATTACATGATCATATTGTATTCGAATCACGCACAAAAATTCAAGAGTATTCACAACATCACTCTTTGATTCAGGATTGGCTCTCTCTCCATCTAGGTTTTTGAATCAGTGTTTTTTTTCCAACTGCAATTCAACCGGTATAGTGATTTAATTTGATATATTTAGTCTAAAATCTAAAATATACCAATTATGAAAAGAAAAAAAAAAAAAAAATCTAAAATATACTACGTAACAAGACAAAGATAAGTAGATTCCTAAAAACAAAAGATAAAGATCAAGTTCGATGATTAATTCGGGGGATACCTTTCGGTTCCCCTATCACTGTTCTATTTATTATTAGTACTAAAAAATAAAATACATTACTAATGTAGCCCTAGTCAAACAAGCCAAATTCTTAATTAGTTAAGCTTAAACTTCAATTGAATTATCAGTGGCCGAGCCAAAACATCTAATCATGATAAATTTCATAATTAATCATGCAACCTTAGAATATTTCTAATTATTTTGTTTTTCAAAAATTAATTTTTTTTCTGATTGTTCCACTCTTATCTCTTTCTCTCTCTCTCTCTCCTCTTTTCCAGTTTTGGATCGTTTTTTGGGCCCTGGATAGAGATGAAACAATGGTGGTTACACAAGGGTTCGACCGTTCAAGTCGCGTATGACATTGAAATGGGCTTGATGGGCCTGTATGCCCTAATTAGGGCTCAAAATCTTGAAGAGAGATGAGTAGTAACGTCGGCGGCACACAATGTTGTATTAGTATTATATAGATATTAAATATGAAAATGTAAACAAACAATCCGCTGTAGCCAACTTAAATGTCGAAATGGTCTATCAGCTCTCTCACGAGAGCTCCGGGTTCAAGTCCCGGCAGCGGAAAAATCTTTTATCTTTTATTTTTTCAAAAAAAACTTAATTAGAAAAGTCTTATAGTGAAAATGGTTTAGGAAAGCAAGTCATACACAAAATTTTGATTTAATTAACCTGAAATTAGAAAAACAGATAGCACAATCTAATTGCTAAATGCATCTCAAATTAATTGCTAATTTAATTAATCAAAAATTTAAAAAACAAATAGTACATCGGATATGTCAAAAAGAGGATAAATAGACACTACATCTCAATGATGATGAATTTTTTTACATGCTAACCAGCCTAAACAAATTAACACAGGCATTATTATTATATTATTATATTTTGAATTGAATTTAAATTTTTTTAGTTTAATTTAAATTCAATTCAAAAACTCTGGTACAGAAACCCAATTTTAGTACCCAAAAAAGAATTTTAATTTATAAAAAATCAATAAAAAGTATTTCTTTTCTTTTTTATTTAAATTTGATAGGATGGCAAAGAAATCACATGGTGAGAATGGTGTAAAAGCTAAGTCAAAACTGTGACAATTAATTGACTGGTCCCAAGTATTGTCCTATATATAAACTGTTTTACGAGTGAGTGATGAAAAAAAAAAAAATCGTTTTGCTTAAGAATTCATTAATCCCGCATTATTCCCGCTTTTGATGGTTCAAATAAAACTTAAGACTAATTCCATATTATTTATTTTTAGCACTAAAATATAAAATACATTACTACTGTAGCCCTAGTCAAACAAGCCACATTTTTAATTAGCTAAGCTTAAACTTCAATTGAATTATCAGTGGCCGACCCAAAACAACTAATCATGTTAAATTTCATAATTAATCATGTAACCTTAGAATTTTTCTAATTATTTTGTTTTTCAAAAATTAAATTTTTTTTATTTTTTATTGTTCCACTCTTATCTAGGTATTTTATCCTGCTCCATGAATTCACAGTATTTTAATACTTTTATCTTTTTTATTTTTTTAAGAAAAACTTAATTAGA